AATTAAAGTTTTTCATTAAAAATTCGATTCAACCAGTGCAGTTAATCGCGTAGTCTAAAATCCCTTAAGGAAACTTTTCTCCCCCAAAGTTTTATCCATTATACCGATGAAGAAGATCCCAAAGAAAATCTATTCAGAAATCCCGTAGAAATTAAGTGTCAGGACGAAATATTATAATAAAGCATACATGCTAACCTTGATGGGACAATCACAGAACAATTGAGTAGGCAGACCAAGATAATAATGAGCCATAATGATCATGGCCTCAAGACAACCAAGTTGAGCAGCGTGTTTCTCATGAAACACGACAGCTTGCCAATCGATTCCATGGTCATTCTGTGCTAGTAATTTGGCCTCTTCATCTCTATCATATTCTGGAATTTCTGCTAGAATAGAAGTCTCATGAGCCTCCGGAGGAATGCAAACTGATGCACCCGTAGCGGAGGCAGGTCCCGCTGGCGGGAGCACCTTATCGCCAAAAAGAGGCACATCCTGGCCAAGACCTGCACGGGACCAACCATTACGACGGTCATTGAGGAAGCGACCGGCTTCATGGAGGCGAGCCAATTCATGGTGAATCTGAACAGAGGTAAGTAGGAGATTCAGATGGAAATAAGTTAATTCTGAACTATGTGAGTTATAGTAGTTGCCTATCAAACATAATTACGGAAATGTTTAGAGAAAAAAGTAGTTGCAAAATGGTAATAAAATACCAATAAATGAAAATTAGAGAATGTAAACAAAAATAGAAAGTAGTGGTCATGGTGTATATAGAAAATTCTCAATTTTGTAATGCAGGATAAATAAAAATTTGATGTAATTTACAATTGCATTTAAAATCAATCAATTAAAGCAAAGTAGCTTCTTGCAACTCTGAAATTATTGATCCATTTATGAATTTAAAAGTTAAAAAAAGTTTATATTTGAAGGTATGTAAACATATTCAATGCCAAAGTTTAAAGCCACAATGAAGACAACAAAAGGGTATATCTAGTACTTATGCTTGTGGGAGCTACAGAAAGGCACAATCAAGCAAGAAATTTGGCGCTAAAAGATGTGCCGGTCTTATAATTCTGGGTTCCAAATACTGTAGCAGCAAAGCTCAGCACTTTTTACTGACTGGTCGAGCTAGTTTTTTAGCCAACCGAATCAGACAGATTCGACGACCTTGTTAGAAAAATTTCAACGCGGCTGTATAATATATCAATCGGTTTCACAAGATAATGCTAAATAGAATTGAGTATAGAAAAAATTGAATGTTACCATATACTTGCAGTGTGCATAAGAAGCATAAGGAATGAAATGGATGAGTACGGATAAGAAGGCCGGCTATCATGTGTTAGACTTGTTTGCAGAAAAAACGCACGAGTACCGAACGGATAAAGAATATGATAAAAAAAGAGAAAATTATGAAATAGAAACAGGGGTGTTTTAGCAAAAGACGCCTCCAGTTAAAAATGTGAAAGGTGTATGAGCACTTCCTAGCATAGTAGTGTCTAAGACGATAGGTGAAAAAAAAGGCACTTTAATCTGTGTGATGTATTAAATGTCAGTTTGCACTCAGGCTGGAGTGATATTTCGAACCAGTAAGTTGTAATCGCTTCGGTATAGGTGAAACCAGGTCGATGGCGTCTATAAATGGACACATTATAATCTGCACCAAGCACCTTGCCTATGGTAAGTAACTAGGAATAAGAATTAAGGTAGATCCGGCCTCCTTCAACTACTAGCTATAATGGGGATATAAAACCTAGTAAGATTAAGTTTAGTAGTAGGCAAATGCTAGAAGCCTTAACACAACCCTATAAGAAAATTAAGGTAAAATGCAAGTTAGCGAAAAGTTATCAAGTTATTTGGTCTACCTGCCCAAGTATAGATTGTCCGATTTCTTGATCCAAATTTGTCGGGTGGTCAGCACAGCTCGGCTTGTGACTCTCGTGCATTAACTGGTGGAGAGTGAATCCCAGCTGTCCGGAGGGTCCCACTCCAGCACCAGATGCCACTAAGCCACCAGGTGCACCGGTGAGCCACATCTCGAGGTCTCCATCAGCATCACTTGATTCAGAAATTGTCCGTTGATGTCTTACTCCACAATAAAGCGGCTGGTTAGCTGTTGTTGCAGTCGATGATTGTTGTAACTGCTGGACTGCCGATGCTGGAGAAAGAAGAGGCAAAATCGTACAGGAGTGGAAATCCGGAGTATTTGCAAAATGCTGGTTACAAATGTGGCAGAACGAAGAGTAGCTTGTAGGGGCAGTAGCAATGGTGGTTGAACAACGGTTTTCTTGATCACCAGATCCATCTGCAGCAATAGGAGAGTTACACAATCCAGCAGCAGCCAAGGGCGAAGAGTAAGCAGAAAAGGTTGAATTTGTCAGAAGCATAGAATTCAGTTGCCCTACCAGACAAGGACTTGAGGTGGCGGCCACAGAAGCTCCAGATGACTCAGATTCAGCAGGCCTAACGGCTGCTGCCATGATGCCTTGTGAGAGATCGAATAAGGAGACAGCAACATCTGGTTCCTCGACAGTACGGTTCCTGAAAGCAGTTGACCGCTCATCAGACCTGCCGATATGTGAGTCGCCAATGGTTACTCGAGCCAGCTGAGCACCAGGCACTAGTCGGCTGGCTGGGAAACATCCAGAGGCTCGTAAGCATGAAACCGGACTCGAACACGGAGGTAACACTGAATTGAAATCAGTTATTCCACTGCCCCCGCTAAAGCTCAATCCAGCACAGTGACATGAGAATCCAGAGTCACCAGACAAGGTACGATCCCGTGACATTTGTCCAAAGGTGCCTAAATGATGAGCTGTTCGAGGATGGTGACTGCCCAGCTATCCAGCCAAAGTCAAACGATAAGAAAAAGACAAAATTTCAACAATGCTAGTAAATTATTGATTGGTGCTGATATAAATAATACAAGTATGAAAACAAGTAAAAATTTCAAAAAGGATGTACCTCTAGCTTGGATTAGAGGTTTAAACAGAGTAACATAAGGGCTGGGCAAAGAAAGATTGTCTGCTTGTAAATGTGTGCAGGTCGGAAAAATTCGTGTGCAA